ACTTGTGATGCAGTTTTGCTTTAAACCTACTATGTAGTTGCTGATTGAAATTATGTCAAAACTGAAAAGTTATTAGGCATATTTAAATTTATTTTATCTTTTACAAGTTACTGCAGTTTAATTGATTTTTATTGTTACATATTCTGCTTAAATACTTTAAAATTCAAGTTAACACTTTCATTATTGCTTGAGATGTTTTGTTTTCTTGCAATATTGTTTCATCCTCCATTACATTTAAATTAAAGAACTACAAGAAAACAAATCATCTCAAGCAATGCGGAAGCCCTGGGCCTGAAGGCCCTGGGGTCCAGATGCCCCCTAGTCTCATTTGTTCCTAGCCAAAAAAACTAAGGAGGAAGCCAAAGGGGAAAGTACAAACACAGTCCCCCATTACCACAAAATTCTGCAGTCAAGTCCTTGCAAGATTCCTTTGTGCAGGAGATCAGTCTGCCCAAAATAATGGATAGCACTCAGCCTGGAAAAACACCTCCTTGATCACGGTATCTCCTCTGCCATAAAAGTACAGTCCAAAGTCACAGACTCATAAGTTACCACATAGTTCAGTTGGCTGGGCTCCACTAGAGTCAACAGCATTTCAAGTCATGGTGAGCCACAATACTGCATACCCAGAATTCCTCTGTCATGCTCTCTCTCAGCTTGGTACATATGATTATTTGGTTCCACCCCCAATGATGACCCCACAGCTCAGCACTGCTCAGTGTGTGTATATTCCAGGTACCACCCACAAAGGATCTATGTGCTAATTAGCCCCCACTCATGCCTAGAACCAGGTGTTCTTGTCACAAATCCTGGGATGCTCCAAAAATTTATGTGCAGATGTGGCCCAGGGGAAACCGGTATGGTTTCACCTCACGGAGGGCAGGGCCCATTAAATCATCTGTATTAGGCTGAGATAGGAGCTAACAGAGATTCTAGGTATGCAATTTCATGGTTCACTTTGACTTGAAAAAGAGTCAGCGATGAAAGGGACTGCTTTTAATGGGCACTATCATTATATAAGATATACATAAGATGGGCTGCGCTGACCTATCCTTGTAGTAGGTTGCATCAGCATGTTTGCCTAATGTGGGCCATGTGTTTTATAGTCATGCCCAGTTTTGACTGAATTTAATCAACTTCACAGTTGGTTTCCATTACTGAGCATAAGTGGCTTTTGGCAACAGTTTAATGGTAGACAATGTATTTAGCGAGATTTCCTTATATGTGATAAGATGAGGGGGTTTTTTCCCCATGCCAACTGGGGGTCAAAAACCTCATCTTGGAATTGAGTAAATACAGTAATTAGGTATAACTACTTCTACAAACTCCCACAGAACAATGTTCGTTGTATTTAGGTTTAATTTAGAATACTGAACTTTAAAGTGTATCCTAAGTAAAAAATATCACTTGGGATACTTGGAATATCCCTTTCTGTTAGGGAAACATTAAGTTGGCAATGATGACAAAATCAGAGCCTGATTTTCTTATCACCATTTATGCTTCTATTTGATTCACTGACTTCATTCAATTTAGAAAAGAAAGACACTAGTCAATTGTACTTGTTGCCTTTCTTTGCAGAAAGTTGTAATTATGGGGTGGCAAATGAACCAGCAGAATATTTAAATCATTATAAATCACTTAAAAGCAATTTTCATTAAAATAATTTTGTAGCTAAAGGAAAAAAAAAACTTATTTAACTCAGTTTCTTCGTATGAT